TCTTCCTCCTGACTTATTGGACCACAAGTTTCGACTTGGTTGTTTCAGAAGAACTTTCCATTCCATCAGTTGTTTAAAATAAGGCTATTTTTGTCTTGCTTTATAGGAATCATGTCATTCCTGTGGAGATTTAGGTCTCTCCTGAAGTGTCTACTTAACTCTTTTTTATCATTATTATTTTTAAATTGATTTTAGAGGAAGGGAGAGAGAGAAACAATGAAGTGAGAGAAAAACATTGACTGGCTGCCTCCCGTATCAGCCCCAACCAAGGGTCAAACCCACAAACGGGTTGTGTGCCTTGACCAGGAATCGAACCTGCCACCTCTTGGTACCCGGGAAGACACTACAACCAATGGAGCCACACCAGCCAGGGCTATATCACTGACCAAAAGAAACATCTCATCTGGAGCACACAAGAGTAATATTATCTATTTTCTTCTTGAAGGTGTGTTCTCCCCAGAACCTTTCCAAGTGTGCTGCAAAGCTGTCACCAGGATTTCTTCTCAATGCACTGATTCCACTGCTTCATGTCATTCCATTCGATGTTTTGTTTTAATTAATCACCCTTACAATGTTATCTTCTGTTATCCAGATTGTCCTTGAGACTTCTGATGCCAATGTGAGTGACATTCCTTTGTAGGTAACCTATTTTTCTCTGATAAACTTTTTCCTTGGCGACCCCATCTATTGTTTTTCCCCTTCATTTTTGCTGCTCTACACTTGTCAGTCCTTTTCCATTTGCAAACTCCAATTTCATCAGGAATTTTTTTATTCTTGTCTTCATGTTTGTTTATTTTCTGAAGTTGCTATTAGACAAATGGATTCCTGATTTTTGGATAACTGTGTGATTCTTAACTTTTTCCATATCTTGATCATTTTGCTCTATGCTCTGGGCGATTCCCTCAGTTTCATCTTGTGCTTTTCTCAGTTAGCCTCCTCAGTGTCACTGTTGTAAGCCATCCCATTTTATGCCCGTAACCGCTATACCTTGCAAAACCTTTCCTATTTTGTCCCTTTTCCACACCAATCTGTTCTTAGTTCATTGATGCAATAGCTTCCCAAATTTCTGTGAAAATAGTTATTAGAATTTTTAAAGTTAGTTTGTTTCTAGAATCACATTTCCTCCAGGGACAAGTGGTGTTATGTGTATTTTGGGAAAACTCCTAAGATGATTCTGAGGCTGATCCCTGGTTAAGCATTACTTATCTAAATGGCCAATGGTCATTATTTTCCCCATAAGTCTGAAAGCACTACAAAACATTTAAATTTGAAATCGGAGAATGAGTAAAACAAGAATGAAGCTGAAAAAGGAGAAACATCTGTAACAAAAATTAATTCATAAAAATAAAATAAAATTAAAAAGATAAAAATAAAAACGAAGAACCTCCAAAAAAAAAAAAAAAAAGAATGAAGCTGACCGGATGCCTAATCTCTCATCCTACTCAAAGATATCTCTGAATTCCAGTGTCTTATTCAAGTTGAGACCCATGGTAAATAGTAGCTAGCTATCTGAATACACAACTTTTAAAAATGTGTTTGATCACTTTTGTCTGTCTCCACTGATTAGTAAAAGTAAAACCTTGCTATAATGACCAGTTCGGGCTAGGGGGTGTCCATTAAAGCCAAAAGTCCATTATATAATAAAATAAGTTTTCCGAATGCGTTATGACAAAAAATTGACAAATTAGTTAGTTTACCTGGTTTTACTTATGTAGACACTTTGTGTAATTAAAATTAAATATGTGTGGAAAGTTTAATTTCACAGAAAAGTTTTCTATATGTATTACTGTAATTTTAAATTTATACTGAATAGGTCTAGTAAATGTGTGCATTCACCAGTATGTAAACAAACAAATGCACGCAGCGGGGGCATGGCTTGGCGCATGTAGGAACATGGGAACATCCACCAGCACTCCTTAAAACTGCTGTGGAAAGTCACGCCACCCAACAGAACCAAGTACTGTCTGTGATGTGGTGTAATCACGTGGTAATCATTCCCCCAACAGTTTACAAGCAGTGACTCATGGATTTAAATATGTAGACTACAGTTGTAGATATGTAATATTTATCAGTGTTGGCAAAATTACTCGTTTTTTCCAACATATGGCCTATTTGCTAAAATTTGTTTAAAATAACAACAAAAAACAATTTAATTAAAAGCAAATCTTGATTTAAAGCATTTTAAAATTAACAGGGTGTTAATATTCACATGACATATGGACTGTCCTTTAAGTCCGAAATCCATTAAATCGAGGTCCGAAAAATCAAGGGTTTACTGTACTGTTAGGTCCAAGACGGCAGTGATCCTAGCTTTCTAGTTCATCCTTGAATCCTCAGTGCCTGACAGAGAAGACGTTCCTGTTCTTTCAACTGAACCTTTTACTGGTTCTGTGGATTCACTTTAGATCCATCCAAAATATTGCACTGATGTATGGCTCACATTGTTAAAAAGGCCTAAGTTACAGAGATGTGTGGATAAAAAAGCTGTGTTATATTTACATAATGGAATACTATGCAGCTATATATATATATAAAAAAAAGGATCTCTTACCTGTCGAAATAGCATGGAGGGACCTGGACAGTATTATGCTAAGTGAAATAAGCCAGGCAGAGAAAGACAAGTATCACTTGATCTCACTTATATGTGGAATCTACTGAACAAAATAGATCCAATAACATGGAAGTATAGGAACAGACTGACGAATCTCAGAGGGAAGAGGTGGAGCGGGAAAAGATTAACCAAAGAATTTATATGCATAACCCATGGACATAGTCAAAACAGTTCCAGGAAGGCCTAGGGTGGGGGGCAGGGTGGAGGGTGTCAATAGGGGTATAGGGGGACATCTGTAACACTTTCAACAATAAAGTAGAAAAAAACATTTTAAAAAAAGCTCAAATCAGCCCTGGCCAGTTTTGCTCAGCAGTTGAGGATTGGCCTGCGGAGCAGAGAGTCCCAGGTTTGGTTCCTGCTAGGGGCACGTACCACACACACACACAAAAAAGCTCAAATCAATGAAATCGGAAACAAGTAAACAATAAAAAAATAAATAAATTTTTAAAAGCCTAAGTCACACTGACCTGAAGTCAGCTTCCTTTCAACTTCTATGAGTCAGGTAGCATAGAATTGTTCATTGAGGTGGGGAGGAGACATGATTGCTAAACAAACTAAATATCTCTTCCATTGTGATGAACTGATGACATTTACCAGGACAATCTCAATACAGGTAAATACATGAGTATAGAAGCTGAATAAATATCCTACTTGCATAATCAAGAAATAAATAAAAGTGGATGAAAAATGAATAGACAACTATAGTTGCCCTTTTGTTCCCAGATGTTATTTCTTTAAGGTGGTTCACAAACCTCTAACCATCATTAGTCACTCTCTTCAGGGTTTGTCCTGACTCCTCTTAAACTTTATCTAGGCCCTTATATCACAATGTAAGAGCAATGAACAAGTCAACTCATGAATATGTTCCTTTAAGTTTCCAGCAGACTTACCCTACCCTACCCAGGTCTGAAGCATCCACCTTCTAATTCCTCCACAGCTGCTTGGACAGCTCAGCTCTATACAGGATAAAGGGTAGTGTTTTGAACTACATATACCTGTCCAAGCTGTGATGTCTATCCCTGAAAAGAGCTTTTGTGAACACAATTCCTTGGATCCTACTGGTTGCATGACTAAAACTCACACTGATTTTCATTTTTAATAATTACCAAATTTCTATTGTTGATATGCCACAGGCCTGGCCTCTCAATTACACCAGTAAAACTGCAGAATGCTCATCCAATCACTTAAACTTGAAGCCTTTTCTATAGCAAGACATAGAGTTGGATAAAATCACATGCCTTCATCCACTCAACCTCCCTCACCTTTCTAAACTAACACTAATTTAGTTGGTACATATACAAATTTCAGGCAACAAAGATGTGGCCACTTAAATAAGGAAGCTAATTTTAAAAACTTAACTAATCTTAAGGTAATCAATGATCAGTTACTCGGGGATGAAACACTGAGGTCTTCAAACCACCCCACAGCAACCTGGCAGTTCTCTGCAGTGCTACTGACAAATGACCAGAGGTGTCCAGAGTACTAGACGTGCATCTTATTTAAATCATGTTCTTTTTGTTTGTTTGTTTTTTGCATAAGCCCGGAAACAATGCTTGCTTCAAAAATACCCACTATTTTAAAAACTTCTGCACCTTGAACTTGGTTTTCATCTCCCAGCAGTGATTTTTAAACCCGTATTTTGTCTTGTATATAGTAAAGGTTTCTGTTAGCCAAATGTCTAATCTATTCTCTAATGAGAATGCTCAATACACTGAAAACTAGAAGGATCTCTCCATCATGAATACACAGATGAACACAGACTTTAAAATAATTCAACAATCCTAAATACTTTCCAAGATGTTAACATGATCATCATAATCACAAAATCCAAATTTCCTCAGGGGACATTTTTTAAGACTAATCTCTAAAAAAATAAAATAAAACCATATTTATCCAAGACAATCTTGGGTTCCATGAATATGTTTCTTGAGGTGATGATTTGTACATTCAACCATTACACACCTTGTGGGAAACCAGCTCACGTTTAATTGTGACATTTTAAAATTGTACAAGTATTTTAACATCTTACCCCTCCCCCATACTTAGTCTCTTTAAAATGACAGAAAAACACCAATCACAGGTTTAATGGGTTTAATAAGTTTCCCCTTCGGTTCCTATTTGCAGCACCCAATATTCCTTTGAAACACCAGACAGACCCGACAGTGGCCGACAGTAAATTTCAGACCTGCAGAGGTTTAGCTCAGGCTCTCTGAGCATTCTGTGTTGCAGTGGCACTTGTCCAAAACTGGTACCTCCCTGTAGTTGGGGAACTTTAAATGTACCAGTGAAAAAAGCTTTTTTTCCCCTTCAAGGAGAAGAAAAATCACTCCTTAAAACCCAGCAGATCTGGCTGTGAGGTCTTTCCTCCTGTCCCGTCTCTTCAGGCTTATTTTTTGCAGTGGAGCAAGAGAGACCAAAATCTAACCTGAGTTACAAGAAACAAGACAGTGATGGCTATAAAGGGAGTGACCAGGAGCAACTGAGATACTCCCTTATCTCCCACATCCAATATATGTGCTTCACAGAAAACAACAAAAATAACAGGTCCACAAAATACAAAAGCTAGAATTACAAAATCCATTCATCCAAGGGTGATGGAAGGCAGGAAGGGCAAGTGGAGGGTAAATGGCACAGGGAGAAAAATTATTCAAATCAGTCCAGGCACAGGGGCTGGCAAATGCTAGAAAAGAGCTGCAGAAAAACCTGTGGTCCTTTCAGACTCACGGGTGTTAAAAATCCACATACCGGTGTCAGGAGGATTGTGCCTTACGTGCACCAGAGACAAAATTCCCAATTCCTCAGAAGGGAATATGCAGAGGGCCCTTGGCAGAGTGGGTCCTGCCTTCCCTGGTAGGGGAGGTGAGAGGAAAGAGGTGCACAGCCTCCTTCCAATCCCACTCATTCCCCCTGGATGGCAGGTGACTCAGTGGCCTGCAGCAGCCTTCAGTTTGGCAGGAGACGAATGTGGTGAAGGGAACTTCTCTGCAGAGGTTGAGCTACTCAGGGTAGACTGCAGGTAGACTGTCTTATGGAAGAGTCTGTTGCTTAAGAAAACCACCAAGGAGAAGAGGCGCAATTGGAAAAGGCTAAAAGGCAAGAGACCCAGCTTGTTAGATCCTCAGTTATCAGAATTATTATTGGACAACCGAAATTTGACATTAAATTTAAAATGACAAGAAAAATCAGACAAGTGAAATTTGATCAAGGAAGTACAGATATTAGACACATGGATTAAACAGGAAGCAACTAAAGAATGCACTGGGTTCTGTCACTGTCATGAGTGCAATGAAATCACTACCATTTGAAGTGTCCAAGTATACTGGAAATAAAGTTCTATTTCAGATTAACTGATTCAAGAAGTACTTTTCTATAGTTGACCTCAGGGCACAAACTTCAAGCCATGTCTGAAGACATCACATGCCGTTTGTGTTTCATTTTCAAGAGTTTTTTTTTTTTTTAATCCTCACCCGAAGACATTTCTTACATATTTTGTTCAGATAGAGTGGGAGGGGGAGAGAGAGAGAGAAACATCGACATGAAAGGGACACATCGAGTGGTTGCCACCCACATGACCCAACCAGGGCCAGGGACAAACTGCAACCGAAATACATGCCCTTAGCGGGAACCAAACCCAGGTCTCTCCAGACCGCAGGCCGATACTGTAACCACTGAGCCAAACCAGCCAGGGCCATTTTCAAGAGTTTCAAGAGAAAGTTCATTATGCCTACTAAGACTCACATGGAGCGTTGCTGAATAGCAAGAGTATGTGAAAACCCAAGACAGATCTGACATTCATGACTGTGTATCCTCATTGACTGAACCAAAACTGAGCAGACTGAGCTTTTCTTTGAAGTGATAAAACTTTTGGAGTGCTAGTATTACTGCTAAAGATTCATTTTAAAATACTTTGTTTTATTATCATTATCAACAAACTCCTATAGTCAGATCACATGGCCATACTACCTTTTTTTAAAAGTTCGCCATTCTGGCCCTGGCCAGTTTGGCTCAGCGGTTAGAGTACTGGCCCACAGACCAGAGAAACCCGGGTTCGGTTCCTGCCAAGGGCACGTACCTCGGTTGCAGTTTGTCCCCAGCCCCAGTTGGGGTCATGTGGGTGGCAGCCACTCGATGTGTCTCTCTCATGTCAATGTTTCTCTCTCTCTCTTCCTCCCTCTCTCCCTCTCGATCTATCTGAAGATAAATGCAAAAAAAAATGTCCTCAGGTAAGGATTGAAAAAAAAAGGTCGGCCATTCTGCCCTGGCCGGTTTTGCTCAGTGGTTAGAGTGATGGCCTGAGGACCAAAGAGTCACGGGTTCAATTCCAGTCAAGGGCACATACCTCAGTTGCGGTTCGGTCCCAGCCCTGGTCAGGGTCGTGCGGGAGGCAATCAATCGATGTGTCTCTCTCACATGGATGTTTCTTTCTCTATCTCTCCTTCCCTCCCACTCTACCTGAAGATAAATGGAAAAATATCCTTGGATGAGGATTTAAAAAAATAAATAAATAAAAGGTGGCCATTCTTACAAAAATGAGCTTAATTACAGGTGTTTACAAGTGCCTTGTTCAGTAAATTATTAAATTTTAAAAATACGCATAATAGCATCAATTTTTAAAATATATTCATGTACATCTACAGGGTGTCCCCAAAAAATGTATATAGGGTGCCTGCAGATTCTATTACATTTTGAAAATGAAATGTATTTTAATAAACACTGGCTTTATAATTATTCAAAATTGTGTATACATTTTTTTGGGGACACCCTATATATGTACAAGGAAATTTGGGGGATATATCCTAGAAGTGTTTTTCTCCCATTAAACTATACATTAATGCTTTCTTACAATGTAAGAGGTTATTAAAAAAAAAGTCTCATTCACATTAATTGTGGTATTATAGTCCCAATCCTTCATACAGAAAAAAACTTACTACACTTTGGTCAGTACTGGCTAATACTTACTAAGCTTTACCAGGGGTCTTTGCTTCATTGGCGCTGATAATGAATAAAGGAAAGAGAATGGAGAAGAGGCAGCCACTGTAAAAAAAAAAAAAGAAAAAGGAAAAAACTTAGTCACCTTCACGGCTTTGGAGGAGACGTGAGAAAAATCCTATGGACATCCTAACGGTAAGAATGCAGAATGCCTTGCACAGAACCAGGCATCCAGAAGATGCTCCCCACACTGAATATTTGTACGAGTCCCCTTCCAGTCCCTGCAGCCAAATTACCTGATAATGTATGAGGACTGCATTGCTGTGAGGAAAGCCAAAGGTAAACCAAATCCGAAGTAGTAAGGCCAATTCCTCTCTATGTTTGACAACCGCTGGTGCATTTCAATTCCTAAAACAAGGAGCCAGTGCAATTAAAACTCTTATGTCCTTTTAGTAAAATGACTAAATATGGCAAACAAATTATTTGAGGTTTGCCCTGGCCAGTTTGGCTCAGAGGTTGGAGCGTCAGCCTGTGGACCAGAGAGTCCCGGGTTCCTGCTAGGGGCACGTACCAAAAAAAAAAAAAAATTATTTGAGGTTTCAGTTTTGGATATAGGTCTGCCATTTAGAACACAGCTAAAGCATATAATTCAGCATTGTCCAAATACGATATAAAGCTTCTATGCAAAGTTTTTACAATTCAATAATCACAATTTCAAAGCTGGCAGGCTAAGTGAATTATTAACTACACCACCAGTGTCCTTTGTCAGGATTAGTTCCAAGCAAAACAAGATACCAAATAAAAAGGCAGCCATTACCTAGAAATAAATATCTTCCAACCATACATACCCAGACAAATATGCCAAGGGCTTTTATGATACCCCAAATTATCTGAATATGCTGACACCAAATTAATTTCTCTAATTCAGAATAACTCCTGCTCATTTTTGCTGACTTATGGCTCAGTCAGAGCTACAATATATTAAGCACCATAAAGGTAATGCTACATTGCTGTACCCCCCAGCATCAAAGGTAAGGGTTAAGTCAAATGTAAGTGCCCTCTTGCCAAAGATGCTACTTCCTCTCAAAGATGGTTTGCCGGGGATCTAAGCATTAAATAGTTTTAAGAAGTCTGCTTAGCAGCAGCATTTCTAAACTGGGCCTCCAAGTTTTGAGTTTCTTTAGATGGACTTACCTTTATTGAACCAACGATATTCAAAACAGTATAGTGAGTAGAGAAGGGACATATGCAGGAGACTAACCAGCTGACCAACAAGGTAGATGGGAAAGAGACTCACAAACATCCCCTGCAGAATAAACACGGAAAACCTTAATTCCTAAGTTTCAGAGACCTACCACTATTCACCTGCCACTCTGAGTCATTTCTCTCTGCCTAGATAGCCAAACAGTTGCTTCTCAAGTTTCTGAAGAGCAGGAGAGTGGAGAATGCCCAGGGTGACAGGAAAGAGCAGGTAAATTCACGTTTCTTATCATTTTGTGATTTTTAAATTCCCTAGTGTTGTTTCTGTAAAAAAGTTATTTAAAAATCATTACCTCCCATAAAGCATATCTGCCCCAGTGATAAATGCAATACCCTGTCTTTGCAAACTTCCCTCTAGTGAACCTTCTTCTCAAGTATGTCCATGTGCCCAGAAGGCCGGTCTCACCTGGATGAGGAAAAGAGCCTGAAGCAGAAGGTTGAAGAGCATGTCAGCAATGATTTTGCTCACACTAGGGAACGGGTGAGGCTTCCTCCCTGACACCTCGAATGCCAGGTCAGCTATATCCTGTAACAGAAAAAGTAGCTCACTAAAACAGAAATTGAATATCCTCAATATCCACCCCCAAAGCTCAGGCCACTAACTGCCTGCCCTTGGACCTGCCAGGTAAGAAAAGGCCCTGGACATCTGACAGTGAGATGCACTGGTGGTCTGAGGCAATAATTCCACTTTACGAGAGCACAAACATCACCCACTGGCTGCTTGACTAAGAAAGGCTGTGAAGCTGCTCCCTACACATGGCCAGTAACTTCACAGGCTAACCTGCCAACCCCTCATGCTATAGGACCTAGTCTCCATTCTGCCCTGGACCTACCTGAAACCAAATGGCATTCACAACTTTGCTGAGCACAAACAGGGGGAGCACCCAAAGAGCACTGAAAATTGACGTGAGGAAGAATTCCAGCCACGACCAAACATCTCCATGTAGAGATGGATCACCTAAGAAAGAGGAAAAGAGTCATTAGTTTTACTGGAGAAATGGAAAACCAGAAGACCAAATATGGAACCCCTAATTTGTGACTATTCCTCCCCACCCCAACCCCACAGATATCTTTATTTCTCAGCACATCACTATGCCTATTTCAGCTACTTGTATTTGTAGACACACCAAATTCTGGCCACAACTCCAGCTCAGAGTAGCCACAGATGTGTGCTACTTACCTTGAAACAAACCTGCTCAGCTGGTGTGACAGATGTCACAGTAATTAACAGTACACAATATGCAGGAAACCACCTGAGTTTAAATCCCAGCTCTGCCATTTACTAATGATTTAACCTTGGTAACTATAACTTTCATTTCCTCACCCATAAAATGATATCTAGAACCATACCCACTCAAAGGGTTGTTGAGAGGTTTGAGTTAAAAACATCCCAAGCTCCTGGTACATAGAAAATGTTCAACAGACTGAGGGAGACAGGGGAAGAAATCTCCTAACTCTCCCCCAGGCAGACAGCACCATATGTACTTACCAATAATTTGGGCAGTTACTGACTGAAGTACAGGAATAAACACTCGATAAAACAAGAGGAGACTGAACTAAAGGAAAGAAGCAATAAGGTAAATATTAAAAGACCTTTTTTAAAACAAGAGTTCCAAGTTTCAGTATAATTATTTTCTAGATGGAGGTGACCTTTATAAATTAGAAGGCCTGAGGGGGGCACCAAAAGTGGACCCATTTCTTTTCCCAATACTCCAACTGAGAGGTACAAACCTGACATTGCCTACAACAACAGTAAAACTTCTAAGGGCAGAGAAGAACATTTCAAATAGTATTCAGGACAATACAGGCACAGACTACACCGTAATATTTTATTACTTAAAGCTAACACCTGAAAACATCTGTGAAATATTTAAATTAAGAAAACTTAAATTATGTTGAATTCCAAGTCAAAGGAAATATTTAACTATCTGTCCTTCAAAGTACTCAAATTTTACCTAAGCCTGGGTTGCTTCTCAGTTAATTGTAGGAAATCTTTTCTGGTGTGGGTTTCAATAGATATCGATTTTAACAGAGTGCTATGGCTAGATGAGGGGAGAACCTTGCCCTTGTCCATCTGTCCTTTCCCTCTGACCCCCAACAGATGCTCTTAGCCAAAATGTCCAGACAACGTCAAGAGAAATTATTAAATAATAATAACATTAAGACTTGTAAGTAATTTTTTAAGAAAAATTAAAATGCTATTCCTTTATTTCAGGATAGCCCTTTATTTACATACAAGTGTTCTATGGGTGGGAATAAAATCAATGCAGTTGCACAGAATCCTGAGCTATGGTCTTAAGCATGTATCAGCTAGTGAAAGCTACTTGTCTCAGTTTAAAGAAAACAACTGAGAACTACTGACAGCAACAATCTGAAGATGCTTATAAGGTGCCTGGAATTTAAGGAAAAAGAACTTACCCAGAATACTCCGCCATTCCAAGCACAGCACTGGAAAATTCTACTAACGATACGTGGCTCACTGGAAAAGACCACACGTGCTTAGCTTACAAAGCATACAGGCCATTTCCATATTGTCATTCAGTAGCTCTCCCTTTTATATCTTTTGTTGGTATTATTTTTCCAGTACCTATTGTTTTCCCAATGTCAGTCAATAAGAAAAGACTAAAAAATATTTCTAGAGAAGGAGCTTTTCTCAAAATAAACTATATACTTTCTAAAATCCAAGACTGGAGAAGATTAAAAGAGGATATCTGAAGTCCTATCAATAAGTAAATCTATGTAGGCTCTCCTAGAAGTATCCATCAATCCAAATAATTTTTTTGAGATTCTCTATTCACCATTCTGATTAAAACTTAACAAAACAAAAACCACCCTGACATTTGAGCAAGAAGTACTGCTAGACCCTAGTTTAATTCAATGTTAGGAGGATGGGGGAGAATTAACTTCACACATTTTGGGGGGGGGAAATTACAAAAAATAATGGGGTACTACTAAAACGCCAAGTCACTGCATATGGTCTCAGTTGTAGGAGACCATATGTAGGTCTGAGACCATATGCAGGTCTCCTACATATAGAGACCAGTCATTTCCTAAAGTGCCTTCCAGAAGGAAGCACAGACATTTCTGACACCAGCCTCCACTCCTTACCTCTCCTGTTTCCTCTCTATGCTCTGGGCTCGCCTCTGCGCCAGGACACTACTTGCCCTTCTTCGACGCTGCTCCTCTCTCTTTTGCTGAATTCGAGCATCAAGCTTTGAGATGGTACAAATTCCCCAGATAGAGTCTTTGATTCCCTACAGACAAGAGTATTATTTTTAAAGAGGAAAAATTATGGATCAGAGAATACTTTCCAAAGTTATATATATGCAGTAATGTGAAATCATAGTGGAAACTACTGTATTGATTTTGCTACATGGCTTAAAGGAACCTTGATTTTTATATTTATTTTGAAATAATTCTCAATTTGTAGACGAGTTACAAGAATAGAAAACTTCCTAATCCCCTTTCCTCTAGATTCACATTTCACAACATTATTATATATATATATGTACACATACATACACATTGTTTCCGAATCATTTTAGAGGAGGTTGCTATATCATGTCCTTTACTTTTAATTCTACAGTGTATATTTCCTAAATAATAAACCATGATATTCTTTTATATAACCACAAGACAGTTATCAGGTCACAAAATTTAATATTGAAATACTTTAATCTTATAGTCCATGTTCCAATTTTTCATGTGTCTTAAATTTTGTGACCTGTGATCAATATCCTGTACTAAACTAGTGATACAAAGATAAATTAAACACTGGTCTCTAGAGAACCAAGGTTACACCAAGATTGGAGAAAGACACAAAGATAGAATTACTATAAAAATGTGAAAAGCTGTAGGAAAAGAACATGCTAATAAGACAGAAACAACATAGTAGTGTAGCTGGAGGAGAATATCCTTAAAGAGTGCATGATGGGGGAGAGGGTTGTTAATTCTATAAAAACAGCAACAGAGGCACTTGTCAACCATATTGAAAGAACTCCAAAAACAGAAAGGTTACTATTAGCTGCAAATACCAAAAGAGCCTATCACCCAGTTCAAAGAACTGCATTCACTCATCTGCCTACACACGTATCAAGTATCTTCAATGAGCTAGACATTGCCATATGGAAATAGTCAAGAAACATAGCAGGAAAAGTACACAAGTAAACAACAACAAAAATTATAGTTTAATTAAGTGCCACAACACTTCCATGCCCAAAGTAGAGTGGTAGCAGTGGGGTATTTGACTTCATGAAGCAGCAGCACAAAAAGGTCATCTGGAAGCAATGGTGAGCCTGGATTTAAGGATGGCATTTTCACCTACTGTTATTAGCTAAAGCAAATTTCGGAGATAATTACCGGGATACAGAGACATGGGCAATTTATGAACCACCGACTGATAGGACCATAAATCGGCATGGTGTACACCTGATCTTTTACCTGTGAGTAATTTTTAGTCTTATTTTGCTTTTAACTTCTAAATCTTCCACAAACAGTTTAAATATTCTAGATAGTTGAGCTCAAAAGGCGGAGGGCCCACTATGTGCTAGAATGATGACGAGATCCCCACCTGAGACACTTACAGTCTTGTGAAGCAGACAAACATGTAAAGTGCACAATGTAGAACTGATCCAGGGTTGAAATTTTATCACACAAGTATGGCATGACAAGGAGGTCAAGGTATTAAAAGTAGATCACATTGCATGAAGTCTCTTTGGCCCTTCTAAGATACTCCTTCAGTTTCCCTTTAACTCAAAGATAATACATATTCCCACTGAAATATCAACCCCTCACCCCATCAGAACTGGCCTCTCTCCTGTCCTAGGAATATAGCTAGAGGAACTACAACTAGGGCATTAGACCTCAGACATCCACTATAACAGAATTTTATGCTATTGGACTAGGTGACTAGGTTCTAAACAGATCTTTATGGGACATTTTCCTAGAGCATCATCATCTGCACCTTATAGAATGGGAGTAGGGTTCTCTAATGTAAATTCAAATGAAGTAGTTTAGGTAAGAGTAATGTAATCAATGTTTAGTTTTGACCACTGCATCACGGTCACGTAAGATGTTAACATAAGCAGAATCTAGTGCAGGATAAAGGGGGACTCTGTACTATCTTGCAACTTTTCTGTAAGTTTAAAATTATTCCAAAATAAAGTTTAAAAAAAAAAACTCTGGACCCAAACTGACCAGGATTCTCATACTAGAGATACCATAAAGGTCTATCATGCTTCTGCAAAATGCAGGATAATACCTATCTCTTGAGTATAGTGGATTAGAATGAAACCCTATATGCAAAGGACCCAATAAATATGATATAAATTCCAAAACACGTATAGGATTTCCTAGTCAGTTCCTACAGCAAAAGGATCAAGAGATGGCTTGAGGTACTCACCCTGGCAAGGTCCTGGAGAAAGGTTTTGACACTGTCAGCCATCTCTTCACCACTCAAGCTACCAACTACCTAGAGGAGAGAGAAGCACCCCCAAATCTTTCATCATGAAGAACCTGGAAATAGATAGAACATAACAGGGGAGAAAATATTTATCTAAAGATAAGTAACTTCATATACATTTCAGCACAATGCCATTTTCCACATACTTGCATCTCTAATAGTTCAGTAAATTCTAGCACTTAGATACTAGGACAGTGAACTAAGTAAGGCTATCTCTGTAACTACTGAAATCTGCAATCGAGAAATTATTTTTTAATCACTTACCACCGCCTCTCACTTTTACAGTGGTAAATTGTTCTAGGACCAGTAGTCTCCTCACTGAGCCTTGATGTCCCTAACTGTACCCCTAAGCATTCCAATATTCCCTTAAGCTATATTTATGCCTGATGTATAACCTCAAGCACTTGAATGAAGTAGACAGTAAGATGAACATTGTAACACAAATTACTAAATATGCATTTCATACACAAGGCCCTCCAACACAGTTAAGTTTAAGGCATGAAATTTCCCACCAAGACCTCCAAATAGGTCTCAGTATGCTTTCCAATTTTAAATTTATACATATAAAAGTGCAATTTTAATAAGCATGCTAGAAACTGGATTTTAAACTAGGCCCCCCAAAATGTTCACGTGTATAAATATTCTTTAACTCACTACAGCTTTCTCATTTTATTTCTCAGGTAAACAACAAATCTAGCTTCAAAAGTTGAGAACTTGAAAATTTGTATGTATAAATATTCTTAAAATCTATGTTCCCATTTAATGTTGTTAAGGTAAATGGAAAACCCATTTTCAAAAATTTTATTAAGAACTTGGGATTCCAGAGTTCTCAAGCCTGACTAAACCCATTTAGGGTATTCGCAATTTAGATCAATCATAAGGACAGAATTTCACAGGAAGCTTGTATGAACCTCAAATGTCAATACTTAAGCACACTTTCCCTGACCTACAACCACTTTACCAAACTGTACCTTATTGACCCAACTGGACTAATGCCACTGAGAACTGCAAGAGCAGGGAAAATAATAGCAGGAAGAAGGTAACTTGCACAACACCATATGAACCATCTGTTCCTCAGGTCAAATCCTGCACAGATACACACACTCACTTCAATAGAGAGATTTCTAGGGTAAGAAAATTCTGTTAATACTCCCACTTAAAAACAGATAAAAAACCATCCCAGAGTGACAGATGACTCAGTGCCAGGTAAATAGTAAAATGCTCAATGAGGATACACAGATCCTAGTTTGCATATACTATCATGAATTCCCTCTTAATCAGCTACTTCCTAATCTATAAATTAAGGGTATTAAAACCTTCATTTTTTGTGTTTGTTTAGTATAAAGTGCAATAACATGCAAACAAAAACTTAACTTTTCTATAAAGATAACCCCACTAGAGAATGAGCTAACGTGGGAGTTTAAGGAAGCCAATTACTTAGTCTGGATTTCACACAGGGCACAGCCAGCCTGAAGCAGGTCAGTCCTAGGCCAGTAGAACAGCTTTGTTATCTGAACCATGGCCATTAACACCTGGCTCCTGCACACACCAAGTGACAGGTTACCTACTGACCAACAGTGGCCTCTGAAAGACAAGTCACTTCAATTTTATTTGGAGATCCTAGCAGCATTCCTACAGGAATATTTGGTGAATTACCAGTTTGACAAAATGCTCAGGCTGGAGAAAAGTAACTTGCCACAACTTGGGACCACACAGAGACTGAACTGCGTAGGAGGAACCCTCCAACTAAACTGGAAGGAAAGAAGATGCATCTGGTTCACATCATTTTACAGATGGAGGAACTGAGCCTCCAAAGATAAATGGCTTACCCAAGATGACAGCAAAGTGAAGGGCTGCAGCAAACTAGAAAACCCTGGTGTTCTAACCCTCAGTCGCACTTTCTACTCCAGGGGACTGTTGTTTACCCCGAGCATGCCATGGACAAAATGTCTGGGAAATACACCTGGCCACTAAATGCCTCGCTGTCATGAGAACTTAGGGGGCATTTACTGAGGCATTCAACCCAAGTCCGGAGAGCAGGAGGAGGTCAGACCCAGCCCGGGTGCAGGAAAGGTGAGCATCCTTCTGACGGGCTCCTGGACCGGCTCCAGGTCCGCTCGGACGCGGCTCCCCCTAGTCCTCCGCAATTCCCACTGAAACCGTGGTCTCCCCGCAACCGCAGCTGGGCGCCGGGCGCGGAGCCGCTTGCCTCTCACCTCGGTCGCACGGAGGCTAAGGACAGCCGCGCCGCACCTGGGCATTCTCCTTCCAGCCGGGGTCCCTCCAGGAGTGGCTCCCGCAACCACACGACCCCACGCTCGGGCCCTGCTGACCCTCACCGCCCTCACCACACGCTCCTTACGCCCAGGGCCCTGCCGCGCGCCAGGGGCCTGGCTCCGCCGAGCCTGCACCTACCCGGCAGCTCCGCCGCCCGGCTCCGGCCCGGCCCCTTGCCCACCGCGGGCTGCTCGGATTCTCCTCCGCGCCGGACAGAGGGCTGCTGCCCGGGCGCTCCCAGGGCCGAGGCCGCTGCGCCCGCACTGGGCATGCCCGGGCCGCGCGGGGCGGTGGGAAGTCGGCGGGCGCGGAGCCCAGCAGTCCAGGGCAGAGGGGGCGGAGCCGCTGCTGCGGAGGGGGCGGAGCCTCGCTGCGCCCGCACTGGGCATGCCCGGGAGGCGCGGGGCGGTGGGGAGTCCGCGGGCGCGGAGGAGAGCCAACCGGGACGGAGACGGCGTCGGGGCAACGTAGGGCGGCGGGGCTTGGGAATTCAGTCGGCCCGCCGGGCCCCCGGAAGTCCCGAGCTACATCTGGGACGCTCAGGCTTCCCTAAGCGCTTCCCTAATTCAGTCTTTCCGGGTCCGTCACCCTGTTCTTTGCCCTCCCCCATTTACTTCTGCAGGGTTGCTCGTCCTTATGAAGTCTTATGAAGCCTGACGACAGGAGAATAATAAAATACAGAAGTCACCTTGGTTTACTTGGTTGGAGATTTTCTGTAATCAAAGGGTACGAAGCAATGATGGGTTTAAGTCAAGCGTCAAGTGGTTGAGAATAGGGCAAGCTGCCATGCCATTCGGCTGCATTAGGTGTGTGCTCTGCCGGCAAAATGATGGTTGAGATAAAAACATAAAAGTAAATAGAAATAAGACTTTTCATCTCCATCTCCACCAGTCCACTTCTCCCCTAGGGATGGCAGTTTCTTGGCATCAAACCATCAAGCTCTACCTATAACCTTTTTCTCCCTGTTCCCAACCTCTTCTGCACATCTCACTACTCATTTCTTCTCTTCTTTTAACTTCCTGTTTCCTTTCCCCTTTAGCTGTGCTTAGAGCTCCGAGTGCTAGGGCCACCTACAGAATCCCATTTTTACAACTAGAAGATATTTAGTGTAACCTTCTGTTTGGGGAGAACCTGAAGCCCAGATGTCAGTGGCAGAACAAATACCCAGGCTTCCTGACTCTTGTAGTTCAGTGGTCTGAGCAGTTGACCTTGTCTCCCTGGCCCAACTTCCAGTCCTATTCCAGAATAGGCCCCTACCTTGAGCCTCCTGAAACCTTACCTTCTCTTTAAGGAATAGGATGCTGGGAGTTGAAACTAGCAAGATGGAAGAAGTGAATGAAGCATTTGGAATAGAAGAAGCCCTGAAGTAAAGGGCCAACAGGGATTTATATATGTAAACTCCTGTAGGGACAGAAGGGGGAGAGGGGGCTTCTCTCTTATTTGTTTCAGCCATGGGAAATAATCTCATTTTCACTGAGAACAGACCTAAGAATATCTACTCCTTTCCTTTTCTCATAAATATATTTATTTACTCCACCACTGAAGTCATTACAAAGAGAAGACATTCCTAAACTTTCATTTTGTCCCATATGAGTAAATCAACTGTTTATTATACAAAGCTATATAGAAAATATTTTATTTCTTTTATAATTTTATTTTTATTAAAATGAGCAATCCATCTGCTGAGGCTTACATATCTTGCTATAAAGATATTTAAGTGGTTTAATGATAAACTGGTTATTGTAATTATTAATTACAAGAGTAGCATTTGCTCCAAACTCTGTCCTTTCTCAAAAGTGTGATTTTAGATATGGGTCTATTCCAACTGGTTTGATAGAAAAAGAAAATGTTTTTTTTTAATTCAACACTTTGTGCAATATTTTGGTCCACTCTTATTTAGCTTCTTTTTTTTCTTCCTTTTAAATTATGCAATTAAATGAGCACCCAACACACAACTTGACACAGAGCGTGTGTGAGAATGGACCCGTGACAGGAGCCCAGGCCTCTAACCTCAGTTCCCAGATCCAAGCTCCCTTCACTTCTGCTGGGTCACTGAGCTGCAACCCCGATGAGCCTGAGGCCAGGAGGAAGAAGGAGATGGCAGTTCCAGTTCCAGGAACTCTCCTTGAACCTGCTGGTGCCTCTCTGTCAACTGTGTCTTGCCCTGCACCTGTGGCTTGGGAGGAAGCCCAGTGTACTCTGTCCAGCAGGAGTGCAAGTCACCTTCCCTAACTGCAAGGCCAGAGACTGAGGACCACCAGGAGGGGCTGCCTCAGGCCAGATGGTCCACTTTGGGGATTGGATCTCACCCATAACAGAGGGAGCAGAACTCTGGACACATGTGCTCCAGGAGCTCAATCAGTCCGTGATGTGATGATTTGTTTCCTTTGGTCCTTTGTACTAATTCACCTTGGGGTTCACAATAAATGTTCTGTAGTCTGCAACTCCTAACTTGTGTGTAAGCATAGACATCATTTGGATGGTTTCCAAAGGGGCAAACAGATTCTTGATATCATTCAGACACTCAAATTTTAGTTTTTCTGGTTTATTTTCAATCACTTTCCTGTGGAATACAGAAAACAAGGGCAAGATTGTGCCCTTGCCATTGACCCAGTGTAGGTAGCCACGAGTCATGTGGGCCATGCAGATGGCACGAGCAGAGCAGTACAGAAACTTGGAGCCATTCTCATTGATGGCATGGTAGAGCTTTGAGATACCCTGAGGAGGTCAGTTTTTACCCAGCTGTGGAAGAATCTGTCCCAAAGCATCAACTTGGTTATTGTTCCATCTGTATCGGAAATTACGATCTTGTCATTCCAGTTCCACAGGTAACTGGTCCCTGCACAGCCGCAGGTACCTTGAAACTGGGTTGTAATACTAAACACAACAACATTTGGGCATCTTGGAGCTTCAGTTTTGCTATCCAGCTGGAGGAGAGGTGGAGAGACTTATGTGAGGTCATGCTGCTGTGGCTTGGGGGCTCCATGGGGAGAGCATCCACTCTCATTGATTCTTCAAGCTCCTGTGACCCCTCATCACTGGATAAGTCATCTTCTGCTGGCCTGCCACTGGTGGGCTCCTTGGTGCTTCATGGCAGGTCACTGGTGGGTGGCACCTCAGATTTCCCTTCCTTGGCCTCTGGCAGCTGTTTGATCAGCTTTCTCTCTTACTCCAAAACCACCGGTGACCAGACTTGTTTGGTATCTTATCTTTGTCCCAGGACCTGACTGTTGCCTTAGGCAAACTCTTCTGGAACACCATAAGCTAAGGATTATGGGAGCAGCCAAAACCAGTTATAGTAATGGTTATATATCCGTATTACAGGACATTACTCCAATGTTTTCTGCAAACTTGTGATAAGTAATGATATGCTCCTTGAAATTTTTCTTTAGAAATTTCTCCATTCTCACTGAGGCCCCCACAGAGGGAGAGGGTGACATCAGGCAAGTCCATGGTAGAGTCCGAGAGGCACTCGATACCAGTATCTTGGCCACGCTTTCCATGGACTGTGGGGACTGGGAGCCAGAGAGTGTGTCAGACTCAGGCCACGCCTGAAGCCAGCATCTAACTCACTTTTCAGGTTCTAGAGCCTTTACATCATTTAGGTAAATATCATCAGCTCCCTGGTGTTGGGTCCTCTTGTGGACACCTTTCTTCTTTGATGGTGAGTCTACTTTACCTGCTGGTTTTGATTCTGAGGGAACCTCCACTAACAGGTTAGGAAGGTGGTCTGCATCCAACGTAGATGAAATCTGAGGCTCAGGGGGAGGCTGGAGAAGTTCTGCAGCAGAATTTGCATTGCTCATCTGCTTACACAGGGCTCTGGGTTTTGTTTCACTATGGTAAAGACCGTTTTTCCCACAGATGCGTACTTGATGGGCAATACATTGTGGGGAATTGACTAGAAAATATATGGGGGGCCCAGCCGGTGTGGCTCAGTTGGTTGAGCACCATCCCATGCACCAGGAGGTCACTGGCTCGATTCCCAGTCAGGGCACACGCTGGGGTTGCAGGTCCAGTCCCCAGTAGGGGGCGTGCAAGAGACAGCCAATACATGTTTTTCTCTTATTGATGTTTCTCTCTCCCTCTCCGTCTCCCTCTCCCCTCCTCGCTCTGAAATCAATAAAAACATATTAATTTTTTTCAGTTTAAAAAGAAAATACATGAGGAACTAATGGAATATAAGGACTGTTTTAGTAAGGTCTGTTTATGTAAATTTATCTTGGTATCCATTTCCATTTTTGAAGATAAGAATCACTTTTCTCCCCCTGGTATCTGGGAAGGAGCACTTTCCTCGAAGAGAAGTTTATGCCCTGCTTTCAAGCACAGAAGGTAACTATTTTTGTTTCTGAGGAATTGTCTTTTTTTTTTTTTCTCACCCGAGGACATTTTTTTATTTTTTGTTCAGATAGAGTGGGAGGGAGAAAGGGAGAGAGAGAAAGAAACATCGATGTGAAAGGGACACATCGAGTGGCTGTCACCCGCACAACCCAACCAGGGCTGGGGACAAGCTGCAACCGAGGTACATGCCCTTAGCGGGAACCGAACCCGGGTCTCTCTGGACCGCAAGCTGACACTAACCGCTGAGCCAAACCGGCCAGGGCAGGAATTGCCATTTTTTATTTGACAACTGATAAAAACAGAGAAAAACTCACCATAGCAAAATCTAAATAAAGTAAATTGTATTTCAAAAATGATATACTACAACTACCTAAAACAAACCAGTAACAAAAACTGTTTTTTAAAACTAAAAAATAGCCCTGGCCAGTTTTTCTCAATGGTTAGAGCATTGGTCCATGGACTGAAGAGTCTCGGTTTTGATTTCTGGGCAAGGGTACGTACCTGAGTTACAGGTTCAATTCCCAGACCCTGGTCAGGATTATGCGGGAGGTAACCAATCCATGTGTCTCTCTCACATCAATGTGTTATTTTTTTCTCTCTCTCTCCCCCTCTCTTCGTTCCACTTTATCCTTCCCTTGCACTCTAAAAATCAATGAAAAAATATCCTCAGGTGAGGATTAACAAAAAAAAGAGTAAAAGAAAAAAGAGATATTTGATTTTGAAATTGTGAATCGTTTAAAATTTATTTCTTTTGAATTTTACAATAAAATAATGTCTTAATATTTAAGAGAAAACAAACTTTGTGGGTTTTTTTATTTTTTATTTTTTTATTTTAAGTGATGTGACTTAGACTAGTCAATGAACACAGTAAAGAGAAAAGCAGTTTCTCAGACAAGATATCCAACTGAGGAGACAGCGGAG